AATGGCTATTTCCTTTGATTTTGCTACGTCATCAAACTGACCATCTATGTCCCCAATATAGCGGGTTTGCTTCCGCCATGAAAACTTTCTGGCATGCTATGACATCCGACGACCGACATGCCACCTTGGACGGCCCATACCGAGCCGCTTCATCCTATCCCGGCGTCGGCAGGCACCCCGAACTCTCCTCCGTATCATCATCGCGGCTAGACGGTGCGCCTTACCATGACGAGCTCGGACACCCTGCTTCAAGATCATCAACCCACCTTGCATCCTCGGCGGATGGACACGACATGTACAGGGGCGCTAATGGTGGTCCAATAAGTCCCGGTGCACCGTACTCGCCCGGTTCAAGGTCTAGCACTGCCTTGAGAAAGGATGGATCGGCGATATCTGGAATACCGCTGCAAGACTTCAATGCCGACGGCTCGCCTCCACCACCCCCAGTTGCTCACTCCTGGATGAGAATCGATAGATGGGCTGAAGACAACTACCCAGAGCTCTTCGACCAGCTTTGCGAAGGTTCCACGATAAACGATATAAATGAGTTAGAACACGATTTAGATTGTTCGTTGCCAATGGAAGTTAGAGAGTCTTTACAGCTCCACGATGGGCAGGAGAGAGGAGGTACGCCTACGGGTATAATATTTGGAGCTATGTTGCTGGATTGTGAGGAGATTTTGGATGAGTGGAAGCAGTGGCAGATTGTTCGGGCAGAATATTTGCAGAAGCAGGCTCAGGCTCAGGCGGCGAGGGGACCACCACCGCCGCAGGCAGGCTCGTCTAGTGGACCGTCCAGCCCGCGTGGTGGGGCTCCTCCCAATGGAAGCACGCTCAACAAGGCAGTTTTGATGGCACGGCAGGATTCGCAGCCGGAAGGAGCGGTTCAGAAGGTCTACTGTCACCCAGGATGGATCCCATTGGTGCGTGATTGGGGTGGCAACAACATTGGTATCGATCTCGCACCTGGACCGGCTGGAAAGTGGGGTCAGGTTATCATGTTTGGACGAGATTACGACTGCAAATACGTCGTTGCTAAATCGTGGGCTTCTTTCCTTGCCACTGTTGCCGATGACCTGGAAGGTAGCAATTGGTATGTCGACGAAGATAGCGGTGAGCTCAAGCTCCGTGAATTGAAGACGACAAAGGTTGAGCCTGGATATTTTGATATCTTGAGGTTACGGACAGATAAGAAGTACGGCAGAAAGATCCCACCGCATATGAGGAGACGGCCAGGTCCACCTCCTCATGTTGCGACGGGTAATGGGCCGGTTGGACCACGTCCGGGGCCTGGTACAGCATCACCTGGTTCGCCAATGATTGGCCTCTCGCCGATTATTCGACCAGATGGAACTCGAGAGCCAATGCCGTCGAAAACGCTATCCCCTATTCACGCTCCTAAGGCTGTCCGACCAATTGGTAGAGCCCTTGAGGACATGCCAACATCGGCGACTGGCTCCGGGCCAACGACGCCTACCATCTTGACGCCAGCGAGAACGAGTCTACAGTCGACTAGGAGTACGGAGACCCCGCCACCGCTGATTATTGACAATACCACAAAGAAGAAGGATGATGTTGAGGATCTATCAGATCTTATCAGCACACCGACAACATCGAAAGCCGCGGAGTCAGAAAATGGAGCCAGCCCGAAAGCCAAGGAGCCAACCAAAGGAGTCAATTCCCTAGCGGATGTGCTAGAGGATGTTGACCTTGGGAAGGACAAATAGAGCATCTGAGCATAAATCTCATACTGCCTTTGTTCATTGCGAATACACCATCGTAATCATACCCTACACTTCTTTTATTTGCGCTTTTGGCTTTGGCGAGAATACAGTGTCAGCGTCGTCTTTTTACCTCGACTCCTTTTGCGCCCCCTGTTCGGAAATACAACATTTCTAACTGTATTAATGGAAAGCTCCTGCTTGATGTCTGCTACGTTGCTGGTGTACACATGAGGATTGCATGGACTCTTTTTTTTTTTCCCTCTCCCCTTGACCTTTCCCCTATTTTTCGTTTCTTGTTCTTTCTTTATGTGTATTCTTGTGGCATTTTTTTTTCTCCTTGGTCAAGGGAGATGCTGTGTCGACGTTCTTGTCACTTCTCTTTTTTCAAAAAACACCCTTTCCTTTTATCTTCTACTTTTTCGATTCACCCCTCATGTACGTTACATAAATCGACAGAGCTTTTAATGCCTTATATTCCTAGTTTTTTTTGGGACCTGAACTTTCTTCCTTTGGAGTTAGCCCTTATATCGATCTGTGTGCCACACGAGTGGTATTTTTATAAAGGCTGATACTTTCTCAAAATTACCGTCTGCCGGATAGCAGGTGAGCAAGGATGCTAATTGAGGGATTGTCCATTCTGTGTTAACCCGTGTTTTTAGGAATCTAATGGTGGATTCGCATGCAGCATGTATGCAGGAATCATGCAATGGTAAGGCTGATGCATTTCGAGGTCCACGGTTTGTCCGTGTTGAGAATGATATAAGTAGCGTTCCAGTCCCCGCACTCGAGTACTGCATATACCTGAGGGGCTCGTGATGCATCGAAGTTAGGGCGATAGTTCAACGTTTCTTTTCTATTATCTACCCCTTCTTTTTTTTGAGATATATGAATTAAGAATTATCGAAGGGACGTTATGGAGCACTTTGCTCCTTTTACTGCGAACCATGCGCCTGCACGGTAAGTTATATAGACCTCCCTAATACAATCTACAAATTGGTACTTGGAAGCTAAAAAACGATCGTAGGTATGAAACCGCAGAGTTGAATTCGTCAATGACGCTTGTTGAAGATGCGGTACGACAAAGAAACGAGGGTTTAGAATCATATGAACTCGATGGGCAAGGTCATTCTGGCTATGGACTTGACAATCTTCATGAAATGCCTGTTCCTGGATTCGGAGGGTCGAGTTATGCTTACACTGAACTCCCCACCCGGCCTTCAACTACCAGTCCCATGAACGATGCTTCTTCACCGCTTCCTCGACAAACGGTGCCACCTAGTCGGTCAGCGGCCGGTGCATCTCCCACATTAAACACCCCGTTCGATGCATTCGATACTTCAGAATTCTACTGGAATACCAACCCTTCCACGGCTTCAGCTGTACCCCCCACTGCAGCACAACCACAATATCCCCGGCCACCCAGACGAAGGTTTAGACCCGTAGAAAGCCCGCAATTCCTTCCAGAATACGTAATCGATAACTTTTTAAAAGCGAATCCGGATCAAGATGGGTTCTTTTGCGTGTTCAAGAAGACGTACGTGCTGAAAAGCGATGGGAAGACGATACACGAGGGCCCTTTACCCGCAAATCAGACGACGCTGTGGAGAGCTGATAAAGTTATCGGGCATTTGTTTGAGGTTACTCGGTGGGGGAGTATGGTTTTCCATGGACCTTTTCAGGATAATGAACGAGAGTTTACGGGGTATTGGGGAAAGAAAAGTACGATTAAAGAAGTAAAGAAGCCGATGGACGACGCACACTCTTTTCTTCATATTCCTATTCCCTATTCCGGCAATTCGGTAGCTATTCCTCTTGACTCATTATCGACTACCAACGCTCAGTCATTGGCAAAACCACGACAGACTTTCAGCTCCACTCCGCAATTCGCAACATTCCAGGGATCTGATTTGGTCAATCTGATGGTGAGTAGATACAGCGGCAGCTGGAAACGTATCTTCAATACGGTGGGGTACAGAGCAAACCCAACCCTTCAGCACGATAACAAATTCACCGGAAGCACCCACGGAATCTTAGCTTTATACTCTAATATTCCAAAACTCATCGCGTTGATTGTTGCAATGGGGAAGATTCATCCGCGGCAGCTGTTCAAGTATATCTCCTTGTCGCCGGAGAATATGCAGGTACAGTATGGGCAGGATTACACGTCAAGGCCCTCGGGTTATGATTTTTACCCCTTTTATCAATATCCTTCTGTATCGCTAAGGATACCGCTGGCCGAGTGGGAGGATCAAGGGTGGATGTATACTGAGGTTGGGAGTTTGGAAGTATTGATTTCTTGATCTGAAGCAGATTCCAATGGCTTCTTTCCCCCTCCCTTTTTTTATTTTATTTGAGTACTTCTTCCTCTTCAACTCTCCCCGGTTATCATAACTGACTAGATCTAAGCTACAATAAACCTTCAAGAGAGATAAACCTGCTTTTTTGCATTACAATCAGAGTTATGGTATGCGGACGCATTCTAGGGTCTATAGATCTAGTTATCCACAAGTCATATCGATACTACAATGCTGGACATCTCAATACCCGTTATATACGTCTAACTATGTCTACGTGAAACTTACTATCAATGCGCTCATGTGCATATCGGTTCCCGATAGGAGCTATTTAAATTAACAGGTTTAGATTATTTACTGATACGGGTGTACGAAGGTTATCCCAAAGGCATGATATAGATATGTTATGTTACGAACGTTAGGCTGTCACTCCGTTTTTATAGAAACGAATTTAAACCCCGGATTGACAAGTAATAGGAAGCATAGTAATGTGAAGTGTATATTTATATACTAAGGGCCTGTCAGAAGAGGCCAGGGCCGCGCTAGACGCCGTATGCCATATCCCATTGGCCGAGGATGTCAAGAGGTCGCGGAAGGTGGCACAGACCGTCGACCACCTGGGAACTAGTTACAACAAGTTAACTGAGTTTTGGCCTGTTGGATTTTGTGGATCGTGGTGCAGGGCAATAGAAACCAAGCAACCAGTACTGAATAGCTACTTAGTCGGCATGCATGGCACCAGCGTTTGCATATAAACCTCTTTACAATAGCGAGGATATACCGATATTTTATCCAGTTTCTCAACGCTATAGGGATATAAAGAGGACCACTCTTAGTTGCTAATGATAGGACGTAGTCTCGTGACGATAGGACGACGGCACCTATCCAACATGAACACACCGTGTCCAAAAATATGATACACCAGCAGTATCTTGATCGAGAAGGTTCCAAAAAAATTACAAAAAGAAAGGTCTAAAGGATTTGCTGCCGACGGGAGTCGAACCCGTGTCGCCCGCAATAAACCGGATTTGCTCCGATGGGAAACGAGCATCATACCGTTAGACCACAGCAGCGGATAAGGTTTGACCCGCAAATAGAGCCTTATCAAACCGGTTTCCTAGTTGGCTGCTGTATTGCGGGGTTGTTGTATTTTTTTGCGGGGCAACGCGAGCACTGAGCAGTCTCGGCACTTATCATTAACGGCCCCAGCCAGCCTGTCAATATTTACAATTCCTTTTTTTTCTTTTCCAAAAACAAAGAGCAAAGCTTTTAACCCCTACCTCCCGTAGCAATCCCAAATACTAACCCTAAAGCGCTATCAATCCCACACCTGCAAGTTCTTCAATAAACACCCTTCTTCTTCAGTATCCGTCTTCCGTCTCAAAAACCCAATTTTATAAACCGTCTCCCCTTCTTCCTCCAATTCTTTCGCAACAGCTTCCCAGTCACCCTCCGAAACCACAAGTACCATTCCAATACCCGTATTCCATGTTCTTGCAAATTCCTGGTGTGTCAAGTTACCCTTATACTTCAACCAGTTGAATAGGCTTGATAGTTTCCAGGCCTTTGCGTCGACAATCGCGGTCATGTCCTTCGGGAGCATTCGTGGGATGTTTTCTGTAAGACCGCCGCCGGTGATGTGCGACATACCCTTTACCAGACCCTTCTTGCAGATTTTAAGAAGTGGCTTAACGTATATCCTTGTTGGCGTCAATAGCGATTCGCCAATCGTAATGTTAGCCTCCCATGGCGCTTCCGCTTTGTATGAAAGGCCGTTCCTATCAATAATCTTCCGAACAAGCGAGAACCCATTAGAGTGGACACCGTTAGAGGCCAGTCCCAGTAGCACATCACCTTCGACCATGTCGTCCAATCTAGGTAATATAGACTCCTTAGTAACAGCGCCGACAGCGGCACCGACGGCATCGTAGTCGTCTTCCTGGTACATGCCCGGCATCTCAGCGGTTTCACCACCGATGAGGGCGCAACCAGCTTGTTTGCAGCCATCTGCAACACCGGCGATGAATCCGGCGGCCTTTTCGACGTCGAGTTTGGAGCAGGAGAAGCAGTCGAGGAAGAAGAGAGGTTCAGCGCCTTGTACCACTAAGTCGTTTACATTCATGGCAACAAGGTCGATACCTACGGCGTAGTTAGTATTTGGCTATATTTTACCGTACTTTTAGGAGGCTATGGGACTTACCGACGGTATCGTGCTTGTCGGCCAGCTGGGCAACCTTGAGTTTAGTACCAACACCGTCGATACAGCCGATGATTAGTGGTCCGCCGTACCCAGCACTCTGTAAGTCGAAGACGCCACCGAATCCACCGAGGTCAGCGTCAGCGCCGACACGTCGGGTAGATTTTACGCATGCTTTGATCCTTTCAACTAATGCGTTACCGGCGTCTATAGATACACCAGCAGAAGCGTAGGTAAGAGCTTCGAGGTCTGGGGCCTCCTGTCGGAATGCACTGGTGCGGACCGATTAGTATAATTACGAATAGATATCCCGGCAGATAGGGAACCTACCGGTGAGCAATATCCTTGCGGTAATATGCTTGGTTGAACTTGATGCTGTGAACACCTTTGTATGCGCTCTTAACTGCTGATTCCAAGTCGTCCGCGACACAGTTGATAGCAATGACACGGCCGCCATCGGTCTTCAATAAATCGTCCTCTTCCTTGGTCCCTGCATGGAATAGAGTGGCTTCTAGCCCCGGTTCTAATGGGTCCAAAGTCATAACGTCCCCTTTGGCATAGGCATCAGGATAACCTCCTGCAACCACTACCACGGTCGTAGAAAATCTAGGCTCGATTGTAATCTGGACGGCGTCAAGCCAATGTTCACAGCACGCAATCATGATCTGTGCCAGGTCTGTATCCCTGCTCAACAGTGGCAAAACAGTTTGGGTCTCTGGATCGCCAAATCGGACGTTATACTCCAAAACCTTTGCCCCCGCCCTGGTCATCATGATACCGGTGAACAACATTCCCACGAATGGCATTCCTTCTCTTCTCATACCATCGATTGTGGGTTGTAGGACTCGTTTCTTGATGTCGTCGATAACGGACTGTGGTGCGATCTTGGTGGGAGCGTAGCAGCCCATACCGCCGGTGTTGGGGCCTTGGTCGCCATCAAATATCCTTTTGTGGTCCTGGGCCGGGACGAGGGGGACAATGGTGTAGCCGTCGCTGAAGGCAAGGATGCTGAGTTCGTCTCCCTCGAGGAATTCTTCGATTACGACTTCGTCGCCTGATGAAAATATATACTTAGTTTTTGAGAGACGAGAAGCCAATTTAGGGGTATGCTCCCACCTGCATCCTGGAATATCTTTCCAACCATGATCTTCTCTACAGCGTCTATGGCTTCTTCTTTGGAAGTAGCGACGACCACACCCTTGCCGGCCGCCAGACCGCTAGCCTTGACGACGACATTGTGAGGTGCCGATTTAATGTATTCCACAGCCTCCTCGTACTTTGTAAAGTTCTTGTAGTCGGCGGTAGGGATGTTATGTCTTCGCATGAAGTCCTTGGAGAATGTCTTTGAGCCCTCCATACGGGCTGCCTCCTTTGTAGGGCCGAAGCATAGTATGCCAACTACATGTCGTCATTTGTTAACCCTCCAATTTCTGTCAAATTGTTACGTAATTTCGGGATAAGAACCTTTGCGGAAATGTTCTTCAATGCCTTCTACCAGTGGAACCTCGGGTCCAGGGACGACAAGATTGATCTTTTCTTCAATAGCAAAAGCAACAAGAGCCTCGAAGTTTGTGACGCTGATTTTCTTGTTGGTGGTTTTCGGGACCGTGCGAGCGGTTCCTCCATTGCCTATAGAACGGTTTAGATATACTGTAGAAGTAACAACGTATAATTGAATTAAGAACAGACGAACCTGGTGCGACAACGATCTTTTCAACCCGGTCTGACTGGGCAAGCTTCCAGGCCAGAGCATGTTCTCGTCCTCCGTTCCCAACCAGGAGAATGCGTAGTGGGGTGTCTCCAATCATCGTACCGCAATTGTACCGAACGATAAGAATAATACAGCGTGCTGGATATGTTCCCGGAAATAAATGTCGCCAGGACGGTACTGCTGCAAGAGATAGGAAAAATTCTTTCTCAGTTGCACAGCGGCGTCGAAAATTGAATTTTATGGTGCAGTTGTGCGGCGCATACGGCAAATTTGGCGGTGGGATGGGCCGGTTGGTTGCCAATTGTATGGCGGGGCAACTTTTAACATTCCAATTAGCCTTTCGTCACCAAAAGGAAAAAAACGGGCATGCGAGCTCCACCGATTCGGACATGGTCGCCAGATAGCTCGACAGACAACATCCCCATATTAAATTAAACCAGTCATCGCAGAAGTGGAAAACCACTTATTCAGATAAAACCCCCCAGCTTCACCGCATTTGGCCGTGTCAATTGGCCGCTGTCTTGTTCAGAACACCACCCTGCACCACTGTCGGCAGCATTGTACACGGATACCTCTGCAGCGTCGGTTGCGCCATTGTTAGGGAGCCCTGTCATTGGTTCGGTGTAGTTCAATATGGCCAGTCCGCGAAAGCCTTTCACGATTAGTATGCACAGCGTTTCCCAATGGCAGTGCCATAATAGTTATATAACAGGGCTGACGTATGCATCGTATAAAAAGAGGTCCCATGTTCCTCCGCAAACATAGGTTCGCCAGTTTATTCCACTTCACTTCACTGCATTTCGTCTCCATGGAGGAATTGTAGAGGTGGAAATGCTAACTCTAGCCTGAGTGCTTCACAAAAGGACCCGGTTTTGACGTCGTCGGACTTGCGTTATCCATCTATCTTACCCTTACCGTTACCTTCACGGATGAAAACCCGGAGGCCGAGCATAACTGCACGATCACTTATGAAGGCGACGGTGCCGACGAGGTACCGCTGAAACCGGACCATAATTTGATTACACGGACGGCATTGTACGTTCTTAAATGCCACAACATTCGCGACTTCCCGGCAGGCACACACGTGCACATTCACAATGATATCCCGCTAGGCAGAGGATTGGGATCCTCGGGCGCTGCGGTCGTAGCTGGTGTAATGCTGGGGAGTACCGTTGGAGACCTCGGGTTATCGAAGGATAGGATGATGGATTATACGCTTATGATTGAGCGACATCCGGACAACGTCACTGCTACAATGATGGGCGGGTTTATTGGATCGTATTTAAGGGAGTTAGATCCCAAGGATACGGAGAGAAAAGAGATTCCGTTGAGTGAGGTGCTTCCCGAGCCGGCTGGAGGCGTGGATACGGGTCTCAGGCCGCCAGAGCCGCCGCTGGGAATCGGTCACCATATCAGATTTGGATGGGCACCGGAAATCAAGGCTATTGCGATTATCCCGGATTTCGAGGTCGCGACGGCGACTGCTAGAGGGGTATTGCCTACAGAATATTCGAAGAAGGATTTGGTATGGATTTGGTACATATCTTCTCTATAAAGGGACTGAAGCTTACATTGGCATGCAGATATTCAATTTACAGAGACTTGCGGTTCTTACTACAGCATTGACCAGATCACCGCCAGACCCAGAGCTTATCTATCAGGCTATGCAGGACAAAGTTCACCAACCATACAGGAAGACATTGGTATGTTATCGGAATATCAAGCTCTATTATACCATCCAGAAACTAATCTGTATAATCTAGATCCCCGCCTTACCCGAAATCCTAACCTCGATGACCCCTCAATCTCACCACGGTCTCCTTGGTATCTGTCTCTCCGGCGCCGGTCCCACTATTTTGGCTCTGGCAACTGAGAACTTCCAAAGTATAGCTGAAGAGATATTAGCGCGGTTTGCAAAGGAAGGCGTCCATTGTATCTGGAAGGTCTTGGAACCAGTTCAAGAGGGTGCTCAAGTGACTGAATTGCATTAATTGTGAGAGAATGACATTCGTTAGTTTTCTTGTAGTAGTATCACCAGCTTTCCGTTCGTTTTCTTCGTTAGAATGATAGATTACGATAGACCGCAGCTATTTCGGTCCAGTTGATATTCATGATGTACTGCAGCTAAGCTGTGAATGAGAAATAGTACAGATGTGAGTGGTCCA